AAATAAAATAAAAAATAATATATAGTGTCCTGTTTAAAAAACAATAAGTTTGAGTCATTTTTCGAAATAGACAGCTCCCAACGAAAGAACCACTTTCATTTTCACTGCCATTCTCTACCTGAAAAACAGAGACAGGGGCAGCGGTGGGTAAGTACTCAATGGGTAGAACAAAACACAATCAAGAATTTATCCGGTATATACCTGTACATTTAGATGAACAGTCTAATTTTATAAAAGGTATTTCCAACGACCGCATAGTAAATACCCGGTATAATACCAGTAATATCAGGAATACGAGTACAACTTAACAAGTATAGCTAGAGACGTGAGAAATATAAAATAAGAGACGCCCCTCGATGCGCAGTGGACAGCACACAAATTTGCTTTAATCAGATTTTTCGTAGCGTAACTGCATCTCTCTTCCGCCGAATGCGTTCTCTCTCTATCGTGTGCGCGACCGGTGCTATCCCCAAGTCTCTTCCTATATTTGTCAAACTGTATATCTACAATATTTCTTATATAGTAGATATTATATATTGGTATATTTCTATTCCCGGTATTATACCGGGTATTTACTATGCGGTTGTCGGAAACTCCTTTTATTAAAATTAGGATGTTCATCTAAATCTACAGGTATATACATATATACCGAAATTTTATTTATCTACAAATTGGGTGCTTACCCACAGCCCACCACTGACCCTTTTCACCTTTTTGATAAGTTATAAGATAATCGAGATACAAAGTTATCGAAAAATGCAAAAATTTCTACTAATTAAAAAATAAAAAGTAAAAGAAAAAAATAAGAAATAACTTTGAACTAAGAAGGCTAGAATAAATACGTGTGTAGCATATTTAGTTTCATAATAAGTAGAACAATGATGTGAAAACAGCATCTTTATATCTGTACTCATAAACCAGAAACCCCATAAAACACACAAAAATGGGACATCCTGTACATCTAGCAATCGTCAGTCGATATAAAAATAATTCACACACAATAGTCTAAAAAATAGAAGAAAAAAACAATATTGTCTTCATATTTGTCAAAAAAAGGCATGTCCATATTTATGTAATCGTAGCGACAAAAATAAAAAAATAGAAATAGTGTGCATGATGCCTTTACAAAAATATCTGAAGAAATAGAGATTGACATCATTAACGTTTAATTAGTATGCATATTTCATGGTTTCAGATCATAAAACAATTAACTAGAAAGAAAGTGTCAACTCTGTGTTAAATCGTGGAAACACGATACGCCACCGAAAGCCTTCGTTGTCGTCTGGAGAACTATTTTTCCAATTGACAGGTTGACATGATAAGGACATGATGGCTTAATTTTCACTTCCGTTTCCGGTTATTTAATGGCGGGCCCTCTTTCAGTTCAAATGTATTTTGTATTTTTTCTTTTCATAAATAAAACCAAAAAATAATTTATTCACATATATTTATTTGAAGTATGGAACAACGTGACTAAATAAACATAAAAATATAGAGGATTGTATTGTTTCAATACCAATTAGTTAATTATATGTACTTTTAACGTAAATTAGTTAAGGTATAAGCATGACTTACAGTAATTTGTAAATAAACACACGTATTCGCAGACTTCAAGGACAGAAAACGGACACAGGGACATGAAAACGGGAGCCTTATACAAAAACCTGAAAACAGAAAAACAAATTTTTTTATACTAAAATTAACAATGTAAAAATATCAATAGGTATAAAATATAAATATACTGTTTAAAAAAGCGTCCATTATTCCCAAAGAGACCTGGCTTATAAATCAAAAAGAAGCAAAAAGAGACTTTTAGTCGGATAACATAATCAGATTATCAGTCCGATTTATTGCATTATTGACAATAAATCGCACATATTGGAGATAAATGATGTTGGCTATAGTTAAAAATGATCTTACCTTGCTGTAAATTGTTTCCATTTTCAAAAAAATCGCCGATCAAAGAGATTATAACACCATTTTCTTGCATCTAAAAAATGTAAAAACAGTGTTTATTTACTACCTATTTTTCATATACATGGGACATACCTACTACGGCAGAAACGTCATTTTCTCCAGGATTCTTCATGTAATATATATTTTATATACTTTATTACCTTTATAATTATAAATTTCAGCCGAAATATTAAATTGAACTTCCAAAACGAAACTAAACGGAATGAATTAAAATGGCGTCGAATATTTTCGACACAATTTTCGAATTTGTTCTAGAACAAATCTGAAGTTGTCTCTGAAACTGAAATCTGTCAATTCTAAACTGTGAAGTTAGACAATAGTTAGACAAAAACAATGCTATCTTTGTCTAGGCGGCCATACTTGTCGTGAGAGGAGAATGACAGGAATGAAGCACTAATGACTGTTTCAATTTTCCTATTTCACTGTCACCCCTGGTTTCGATCACGGGGTGTCACTTGTATGGGAAAACAGGCAACAGTCAAATTTAAACGTGCCAGGATAAACGACAAAGAAAGCAACATTTGCCAGGCATTGGCTTTCTTTGTCACTCACATTGCTTAAATCATGATACCGCGGCCATTTTGTCAACAAAGAAGCTGGCCGGCTGTCCTGGCAAGTGATTTAAAACAATTTTGCTTTTTACAATATTAAATTACCATTTGGATGTATTTAATGCGATTATTCAATTAACTGGTAAGTCAGAAATTACACACAAATACTTTATTCGTAAATACAACTAAGATGTAAACGTAGTTTTGTATTTTTAGATTTCAACTTTTGCAAAGACCCGCCGATAGAACTTGCCTGGCAGCGTACCTGTTTAATTAAACGTATTATTTCCTGATAATAATATCAAAACACGTAAGTACCTCTATAATTTATGATGAAAAATGATTTTGATTATGTTTTATATTATTTAAATACTTTATAACCTCAAATAATAGTAAGATCCTTGTTTATATCGCACAGCCCGTTCAAAACTGTATTGTCTTCAAAAAATGTTTACAGAACAAACAATTATTACAAAAACAATGTCCTTTTAATCTGATTTATACCTCAGAAGGATGCCAGTTAAATTTTTATTAAATCAACATTACATTATTTGGCCATTAATATGCAAAAAGGAGCATATTGCGTTAACTTAAATTTTCTTTTACTTCTCCTGACAATGTTCTCTATATTCTCTATTTTGAGTTAGTAAACTTTTGAACGGGATGTGCGATATATAAAATACATAATATATCCAAGGGTATGATCTGATAAAAGTATTTTTTGATGCATTTTTTGGTTGTTTATGCACATTGGCTTGGTTTATGTTTTATTCAGCTTATATTTATTTGGTATAACAGTTTTTTTTGCCTTTGGAATGGCATGCATTGAGGCTAGATAGTGTTTCATTAGATCATTAAAGGAATTTAAATTAGCATATATTTTTTGTGATATTAGTGTGTTATCATGATACAGGTAGTGATCATAGTGCCTTATGCATGTTATTTACCTATTATATACTTATGTATTATCAGTAAATAGATGATAACATACTACTAAAATGTCTTTTTAATAGTATGTTTATCTTTCCAATTCACTAGTTATTTGCAAAATGTATTTTGAACTAATTTAAGTCATTAAATGATCATCTTTCTTTTTCAGATTCCGGGATATTCTTTTTCATTGTTAAAAAAATATATATATTTCAATATTATTGTAATATAAATCGCAGCTCTAAAAAATAAATGATATTGTTTACTAATGTGTAATTTATTTACTATGAATTTTCTCTGAAAATAATAAGTTTTTAATAATATCATTGATTTGCTGTGTAAAGTTAATAGACATATTTTTTAATACATTAAATTATATTAAAGTAATAAAAAATATGTTTATTAACTTTAAACAGTAAGTCAGTGATACTTATAAAAATATTTTTTTAAAATTTCCCCTCTTTAAGGCCCGCCCTCAATTTCCCCCTCAAATTTAGCTAGACTGCTTGTGGCGACACCTAGGTGGCGTCTGTTTCCGATACTTTTAACATGAAGTTAGCATTTCTTTAATAAAAATGTGGTTCTCTGGTTTCGATATAAATTACATAATAAACTCTTTATTGTTGACTCGCCTTGTACATTCATACTGATATACCTTTGTACATGATACTGAAATATTCGGATTTATTAAAAAAAATATATATTATTAAAATTCAATTTTATTTTTTGACACGACAAAAAGAATTGCAGTTTTATAAAATAAAAATTATGCGCCTTTCGGATTTTTTAAAAATTTTAGAGGTTACTAGATATTTCGTATTAAACATGTAGCTGCTATATTAAAAATATTTTGTGGTGTGTTGTTGCATAATTGACTAATTTCCAAGCATCGAATAGGCGAAGGAAGGAAACGAAGGGACGAAGGAACGCGAGGAAGTAACGCGAGTAAGTAAGCAGAGGAAGGAGCGAAGTGTGAGTATGGGGCTTTAGGTGATAAAGTGATGTTTAAATCCCTTGCTCTGTTAATGTACCCCACAGGGTGATTCAAAAATTCACCAAAATGTCACATTTTGTTTTTCCTCGTATAGTTGACAGATGGCCAAACCAAACCAAACCAAACTTTCATTTTTAGTTAAGAAAGAGATACTAAAAAGTCAAATAATTCAGTTACAAATTACTTAAAAAATTATCAAAATCGGTCCACTGGAACACAATATGTTAAACTTTAAAATACATGAACATTTTAAGGTGCCCGTTTTTCGTGCCGGTGAGTGTAGGTACCTATAATACTTATGATCAAAAATATTTATGAATAAGTTAATTTGTGTTTATGATCAAGTAGACTGTGACATTGACAGTTTATTTGTTCACTGGACAAAAATATTTAATGTATGGGAGGTAGTTACACATTAGAATTGTTTATCTGTCATAATGTAAAGTAAACTTAATTGTATTGTATTCTCTCTCTTTAGCTGGACAAGTTATAGTTTATCTATTATAGCGAATAAAATATCTATACAAGTTTTCTATATACATTTTTAGGCTCTTATACCCAGCTTACTGGTTAGTTTTGGAATTTTCCTGGCTTTTGACCGAATTGAACACAACACATTAGTTGGAAAGAATCCTTTACTGTGGGACAATACACTTCTACATGTACCCTTATTTTTCGTTGCTAGTTGGACATTTTTTGGTGAGTCCCCTGTATATTTCTAAAATAGATCTTCTCAAATATTTCACACGGAGCGATTCACAATGATTGAAATAGTTGGCAAAACTGTGTTAGAGGATTTTATTAGTGATTGATATCAGTGGTAAAGTAAATTATCACCCATCGAAAAATTTCAGCAAAGTAGAAAGTAGATCAATTATTAATTTATTTACGTTTACACTGACTTTGTTATTTTTATGAACTTACGTATTTTTTCAAGGCGGATTCTCACGACTCTTGTACACTTGGCAAGTATACCAATATTTGCGTACTTGGCAAGTCTCTTTGTAAACAACATTTTTTTGCAACAAGCTTGGCGCTTAGCTTACGTGTGACAAATAATTGCACAAGTAAACCGCTCACACGACATGGCCAAGTATATGCCAATAACAAATGTTTGTTCAAGTACACGAGTCGTGAAAGTCTGAAGGCGAGAATCCTCTGAAGGCACATTCTCACGTCTACTTGGCAAGTATTTTTTATCGGCATATATTGTCTGGAGAGAATGCAGCGTAGTTCTGATAATAAATAACTTTCTATATAGATGCCCGACGCACCATGTATACCCTGTATACCAGTTACAAATGTTTGTCAAGTACACGAGTCGTGAAAATGCGCCATAACATAAAGGCGGATTCTCATGACTCGTGTACTTGACAAACATTTGTAATTGGTATACAGGGTATAAAGGGTGCGTCGGACACCTGTACAGAATTTCTAAGTTATTTATTATAGGAGCTACGCCGCGCCGCATTCTCGCCAGACCCTGTATGCCAATAAAAAATACTTGACAAGTACACGAGTCGTAAGAGCGCGCCTTAATAAAAATTTAAACAAAAAATAAATCGTATTAAATTATTTAAATTATATAGATCAATATCTACATATATAAAATGCTAATGTTTATCTGTGTCGTCTCCACTGAAGTAACGACTTGCTCTAGGAAGTTGCTTTTGTTACTGAAAGATAGCTAACTGGCTCTTCGAAACACTGTCGTCGCCGGATTTTTTGTTTTTCATTTAATTAAAAAAAAAATAAAAAGTATTTTTTTCCTGATCTCGTGGCGGATACGCCAGGCTTCAACTAGTTTAGAAATATTTTTTAAGAAGGTCCCTTAGTGGACATAGCTCCCACGAAACCTGACGTTAATGGCCTTCATAATGGCCTGGGCTCGGTCAAGGTCTACCCCTAGAAGAATTCTACCCCGCTATCTCGTGATAATTTACCCCGATGAAAAATAAGCTTGTGGCAACACTGATGCTATTACCAATTCATAACCTAACATGAACCTAACCATTTTTATTTATTTTAAAAAGCTTATTCAAAAATTGGCGCCGGGAGGCACGTATAGCCGCCCATACTAAAATATGCTAATAAAAAATTGGTAGGCAGTTCTTTTAGTTTCAATGTAAAGGAATTTTTCCAATTTTTTTTTATCTCAAAAATTGCGACTTTGACTGATTTTGATGTTATTACAAATTTTGTTGCAAATATTATTCCTAATCTTAAATTGAAAACCGCGTTTCGCTAGCTACTGTAATTTTGAAGTTACGTTTTTTTTTAAATTTTTAACCCCCTCACAGACCCCCTTACCAACCCCCCACTCCCACCAAAAACTAATGGCCAGATTCTCGGGTGCCACAGTATTTTTGTGTCAAATTTGGTTAAAATCGGTTTAGCGGTTTTTGAGTTCGTGTTACAGACGGACAGACAGACGGACGGACGGACAGTCGGACAAAGAAACAGACAGACACCATGAAAATATTTTGTATTTAGGTCATTTATGACCCAAATAACTCATTTTGAGTGAAATTAAAAAAACTTTTTTTTGCCGATCTTAATAGCCTACCATACCTATTGGCTATTGGTAAGGTCGGCTAAAAATTAAATTAGAAAACCTTCAGAAATTAAATCCAATTATTAGCCGACCATAGCAACAGGTATGGTAGGCTATTGAGATCGGCAAAAAATGTTTTTTTAATTTCACTCAAAATGAGTTATTTGGGTCATAAATGACCTAAATACAAAATATTTTCATGGTGTCTGTCTGTCTGTCTGTCCGTCTGTCTGTAACACGATAACTCAAAAACCGTTAAACCGAGTTTAACCAAATTTGGCACAAAAATACTGTGGCACCCGAGAATCTGGCCATTAGTTTTGTGTGGTGGGGGTGGGGGGTTGGTAAGGAGGTATTGGAGGGGGTTAAACATTTAAAAAAATCGTTAACTCTAAAATTACAGTAGATAGCGAAACGCGGTTTTCAATTTAAGATTAGGAATAATATTTGCAACAAAATTTGTAATAACATCAAAATCAGTCAAAGTCGCAGTTTTTGAGATAAAAAAAAATTTGAAAAATTCCTTTACTTTGAAACTAAAAGAACTGCCTACCAATTTTTTTATTAACATATTTTAGTATGGGCGGCTATACGTGCCTCCCGGCGCCAATTTTTTTTATTTCGTTGTGTTTAGTCTCACTATTAGGGTGCATCCACACTATCCTAGAAACGGCGTATAGGAAGTAACGGCGTAACGACCTTGAATAGATTTCCAGTAATTCTATTGGCTGAAAAATTCATCTGTCGGAAATTTTATCTGTCAAATTCATCTGTCAAAAATTTCAGCCAATAGAATTACATAGACCGTTTCTAGGATAGTGTGGATGCACCCTCACTATTAGGGTATTTAGGGTGCATCCACACTATCCTAGAAACGGCATTATTGGCGTAACGATCTTGAATAGATTTCCAACAATTCTATTATTGGCTGAAATTTTTGACAGATAAAATTTCTGACAGATGAATTTTGATTGATTTTGAATTGATTCAGGGTGCATCCACACTGTCCTAAAAACGGCGTAACGGCGTAACGACCTTGAATCGATTTCCAGTTATTCTATTGGCTGAAATTTTTGACAGATAAAATTTCTGACAGATGAGTTTTTCAGCTAATAGAATTACTGGAAATATATTCAAGGTCGTTACGCCGTTACGCCGATACGCCGTTTCTAGGATAGTGTGGATGCACCCTTATGGAAAACTAATTTAATATCTTTAAGAAATTAGTCACATTATTTACTTTTTCGTTTGTTTTGCCGCTTGTGATTTGTGATAACCTAATAGGTGATAACATGATAAATATCTGAATTCTGAATTTCTTAAATTTATTTTAACCAAATGAACAAAAGCGGAATAACCAACAATTTCAATCATTTCGGATCGTTTTGTTGTAAGTTACATGAAAAACAAAATACTTCGAACATTTGTGGAAAACATACAGCCATACATACAGTTAAACAGTTTTTGTTATTAATATAGGTAGGTATGGTATACAAATTAAACCGTATGATGTCGTTTATTTATTATTATATAATAAAACCATAATTTAATTCGTAACATCTCAACATAAAAAATTTGAAAAAAAGAATGAAAATAATGAAATACCTACACAACCAGTATAATCACTACATTTTTTGGAGGTTAACCCGTTAAATCCTGTTAGATCACATGTTTTGAGTTTCTCCCAAAATTATTACATATAAAAAAATAAAGTAGGCTATAAAAAAGCTACAGAACGGTTATTCTTACCGATTTAAATAAAAACACTTGTCCCAACACGTTGCAACCTGTTTGCTTTACTTGTGTTATTAGATTCCGCGAGCAGACACCTTATATCGCAGAGTACTTGGCCAAAACTGATCGCAACAGCCGGTAATTGCTTGACTTGTGCTGGATTGCTGTTCGTATGGATTGGAATGACCGGATCAGGCAAAATTTATCTCTATATTTTGGCTGGAATCGTCGCAGGTGAGTTAGAGTCAAGCCCCGTTCTCAGAACGACGTCGTGTCGCTGGCGACACAGTTTGACATTTCAAACAACCAATGGGAGCTGTACTAAATTTAAAATTGACAGCTGTTTGAATTTTGTACAAATCTCATTGGTCCTCTTGACGTGTCGCTGGCGACAGTCGCTGTTCTGAGAACGGGGCTTCAGAGTCGGGGCTGTCGGGGTGTTAAGTAGAAAACATGTAGAAAATATTATAGGGATGGTCAATGGCCAAAATCGAATCGATACAGAACTTCCGAATCGATTCTTTCAGTCCGATTCTAACCTAGATCTGAATTTAAATATTTTTTGTTATTATTGTGGTATTATCTTGAATTTGAATTATGTCTTGAGTATTCCCACAGTCCTATAAGAACCTAAGTATACAGGGTGTTTCAAAAAAGGTAAAGGTGTGGACCTTGAAACGAGTTTTTGCTGCATTTAATCACAGATACTACGCATGCGTACATCGTCGATGTTGCCAGATTGCAGGTTATTTTGAAATTTTCAGTAGAAAACAAATAATGTGTTTTTCAGCGTTTTTTGTCAATATATACAGTATGATCGAAAAAATCGGCGTCCAGTTAGCTGGGAAATGACGATCGATGACATTTCCCTTATAAATTTACATATAAAATGACAGCGAACTTGATTCTTCATTTCATAGTCATCGCTGACGCCATTTTTTTTCGATCATCCAGTATTATTTTAGTATTATTTATATTATTATTTTAATATTTAACAAAGCACGTGCACGCTTTATTACGTATATTCACAGTCAATAAAATTAAATAGAAATAAAACTCTAGATTGCCATAATTAATCTAATTGTTCTAGATTATTATGCTACGTTTAAAAAGTGCTTTATTAAAAATTTAGAAAGTTAAAAGGGATGTGTCCAAGTTTCTTCTTTTTTTTGAATTTTTAAATGCTGTAGCCCCATATCATGTTCATAATAGGTTTTATAACATTCCATTAAACCTACGTAGGCTTTAAAAAGGCCTCCGTAATTATAACTGTCGAATCAGTAATAATTAATAGATACCTTGTTTAATTCTGCTTATACATATAACATACAGGGTGAGTCTTAAATAAGTGCAAATATTTTCAGGGCTGGTAGATCTCGATAAAAGGAACATATTTTTTCTTTGCCATTTTTCAGACAAGTCCAAAATAACCTAGTTATTTAAGTTTGAAAATTTTAAAAAAAAATTTTTTTTGAAAAAATTTTGAGAGCCACCGGATTTTTTCCTTATTTTTTCTGCATTTGCATCCCTTTTATTGCCGTAACCAGTGCCTTCTATTAAAAGATCAGCCTACGGGCGGACTTTTGTTTACTTCATCAGCTGTACATACTTAGATATTGGGTTAGATTCCGTTTCATATTTTGTCGGTTGATTTTTGTTTTTAACTCTTTGATTTTTGGTATTATTTATTATTGTAGTGCAAAAAACTAATTATTTTGGTGTTGAAGTGACATAAACTACTACCAGATATATGGTCACTCTCGGTTTCGCACAAAAAAATAGAAATTTTAAAAATTACACGGTGTGCAAGTGATTTAACCTAAAAGTGCCCATACATTTTTTACTTATCGTGATTTTTTGTGTGTGTTTTTAAGACTCTAACAATTCATCAATAAAGCTTAAGTGGAGTGTGTTATTGGTGCTATGCCTCATCTTTTTGTTGTGTTCCTGGTGGAAAGGATGGTTACTAAGGATAGTTATTATACTAGGCAGCCTAAAGTGTCCGGAAGAGCAAGAAAAGTGGGTACGAGTTATAAATCAAGAGAATTTTATTGAAAATATCTTTAATAAATTTAAAAATAATATTCTCCCATGATGGTATTAATGAAAACTGGACAATTATGTTTATTTTATTCATATTGTGGAATCTCCACTCCAAATGTTGCTGGTTCAGCTTCGATAGATTCAAACACGTAAGTAGGTATTATGATCTAGGGAAAAATAAAGAATATGTGTATTATTATTATTTATTATTTATTATTTTGAGTTCAAATTTTAAAAAAGATTTTTGTAAAGACAAGACTGATACAGTTTAAAAGAAGAATGTGTTTTTGTTTGATAATATATAATGTATGTTAAGCATAACATATATTTGTTCAGTAATTTTTAATGAATAGTATTGATTATTTATAATACCAAATTAATATCAAATATTTAAGTGATGGCTGAATACAATATGAATAAAATAACAATAAAATTGGTATATTTGCATAATACAAAATTAAGTTTTAAGAATAAAGGTGTTACTAAAAATACTAAGAAATTCATATTTCTTTGTTTTAATTGGTCTAATGTTATTTACATTTTACGTAAGAATTATACCGTATCATCGAAAAAAAATCGGCGTCTAGTTGGCTTGGAAATGAACATCGATGACATTCCCTAAATAACTGTACACATAAAATAATTAACTAGAATTTTACTATCTTGGAAAATTTGATATTCTTGAACCTTGATTCTAAATATTCTAAATTTTTGATTTTCTTGGAATTTAGGTTCGGGAAAACGCGCTGATTGATTTTTCATTTGGTTTTCATTATTTTTATTTGGTTTAAAAAAAAACGGTTCGGCTAACATTATAGCCTCCATCAGTGTTGTGTCATATGAAAAAAATAGTGTCGAATATAATCCAAAAATTGCATATAAAATATGCACACCACGCACATAATGTTTACTGCGTACTCCATAGTCAATGTAGATAATTTTAGTGTTAAGAATAATAATTTTAAAAAATATGTGGTCATCTTTTGATAAGTTTATATTAGTTTATTAATTGCAGTAAACATTATGAGGTGTGAATTATATTGTATATGTAATTTTTTGGATTATATTCGACACTATTTTTCTCATATGACACAACACTGTGAAGGCTATAGTTAGCCGAAACGTTTTTTTATACCAAATAAAAATAATGAAAACCCAAATGAAAACTTAATCAGCGTTTTTCCCGAACCTAAAAATCCCAAGAAAATCAAAAATTTTAGAATAATTTAACATATAAAATGCCAGCGATCTTCATTTCATAGCCATCGCTGACGCCTTTTTAGATAATATTGTATTATTTGTAAATATAATTTTTCGAACATTGATACTTGCAAAATATACATATAAATTTTGTGAATGCAAATAATAATACATCACTATTAGTAGATATTCAATGTTTTTGTTAAATTAGATCGATTTTCAAACCCCAAAATTTAAAATATATTTACATTTTACCCATTATCTTATGTACCTATACATTATTTGTACATTGTAAAACATTTGCTGCATATGTATGGTTCATAGTTTATTTGCCAAAGTATTTATTACTATAAATAGGTATATATGTTGTAGTTGTACTGTATATTATGTATATTTCATTTAAACTATATCATTTTTAAAATACAAACCAAAAATCTGAGGAATAATTATGTTTTCCATGTATTCTACAACATATTTATTAATCCGTTATATCTAACTAGCGTGACGTCATAAATCTCGCCCGCAGGCTGATCTTTTAATAGAAGGCATTGCCGTAACCATAGAGTAAAACCGTAACTATGGTAATATCAGAGATTAAAAAAGTATACCCTGAGAAAATTTGCGGTGAACAACAGGCAGTTCTAAAAAGTTTTCGAAAAATATACAGGAAAATTTAAAAGAAAATGCACGATTTTGAACATCTTTTTTTAGCGAAAAAAAACTTCATAGACGTGCTCCTAGGGTCGAAATATACTACCCATAGACTTAAAATAAAATATAGACTGAGCATCTCATTCATAAATAGCTGGAACATGCGGTCAGACACTGTCTTGTTATTGTTTTGTTATTGTTTTAGGTTATAACGAGTGAGACACGAGCGATAGATAGGTTGTCTCTGTCGTAACGGTCGTTCCCTGACGACTCTGCCGAGAAACACAACACTGTCTTTCGTTTCTCAAGTACACCTGAACTCTCCGTATCATAGCCGGGTAATTTTTTTATTTTAATGAAGCTATAGTTAAATTAAAAATATATCGTATTTAAACTTTTTATATTTTATTAAGATTTAGGACAGGTTTTTTAAATAAAAGTTTAGAAAAAACAATTTAGAGTCCAAAAAGGATAAAAATAATAAAATACACGTTATAGAAGAAATTTTATAATCGAAATTAGGTAATTTTGAAATTAATAATTAATTATTAATTTTAGTCAAACATTACAACCCCCAATATTAATCAAAACAGGATCTATTCCACAGATATAATAGAATCGGCGACAGGGAGAGAAAAAAAAATATGATTGTTGTAATTTTTTTTTTTTTCTGGTTAAGTGATGTCTTATTATGTAAATTAGAGAAAACATAAATCTGTTCCATTAAAGCAAGGAAGGTGATAGGAAGTGGATAAAATAAAAACTACATTTATTTAACTCGGTACTATCTTTATTATACCGGGTGCGTCTCAAAAGTGGCTCATCCCCATAATTTTTTTATATTTTCAAATAAAAAAACAAGATTTAGTATGTTAGTATATGAAATAAATTTGGATTGATTGACGCATTCAATTGTTTTTGGTCACTTCTTGTTTCACCGGAAATGACTATAACTTTTAATTTTTAAACGGCACCCTCGGTATATTTCTACTTTATTCGATAGAAAATGACACTCTGAATAGAATGACATATCATATGTCAACTTTTGACATTTTCGCATATGGTTTAATTGTAATTGTAACACGCGGTTCATAACGACAATTTGACTCGAAATACCAAGTGTGTGGTATCAATATATTCATAAAAAATGCTTTTTCCAAATATGCTAATGAGTCACCCTTGTTCCATTTGAAAAAATTGACATATGTATGATTAAAAATACGATTTGTACATCTTTTAACCGGCCTAGACAAGACACGAAACCTATTAGACGATCAAAACTATATTTCCAAGGCTCCTTGATTAAAACTTAGTGGATTGAAAAAAACTGGATTGAAATTTAAAATAGGATATGTTTTTAAGCGACAATGTCAAAAGTTGACATATGATAAGTCATTCTATTCAGAGTGTCATTTTTTATCGAATAAAGTAGCAATATACCGAGGGTGCCTTTAAAAATCAAAAGATGTAATCATTTCGGTGAAACAGGAAGAGACCAAAAACAATTGCATACGTCAATAAATCCTAATTTATGTCATATACCTACTAACATACAAATCTGTTTTTTTATCTGAAAAAATAAAAAAAGTTATAGGGTTGAGGGTTATTGGTTGTTATACACTTTTGAGACGACCCGGTATATTAAAAAATCTTGTTTCATAATGTAATATCATTTTAAAATTCTTGTACGTTATTTTAGATTCTGAAGATAATTTTAGAATAAACCGGAATATATTTTTAATAAAAACATAATTAATTATTAACAGGGTTATAATTATGATTTTGTTACAATGTAAGTAAGTAAATAATGTAATGTAAAAGAAAAAAATCAGATTTTACATTTTACTAAAATATTATCTAAATAAGTGCCTTTCTACAACAACGCCACTGACTGCCAATGGGTAAATTGAGAGTTGCCTACCGGTCAAAAGTCGTTTCAAGACTTAAATGGATTATTTAAGTCAAATTTCTTGCAAATTTGGCACTGGCGAACCATATTTTATAGTTTTTGAACAGAAAAAGTCAATAAAATAAACACTTAAGGACTACAAGCTAAGAAAATGCGTTAATACAGCCGGGGAGATAGCGGCAACAAAGCTTTACCGCACACGTGCGACACTTACTACAAGGTAATAAATGAATGAATAGGCTCCCTCGCCTCTAATCGGTGTTGTCATATTGTAAAGAACTTATCCTTATTAAACAGTATCCGACTTATAATTTAGTAGTATAAGGACTATTTAATACATCTATGGAATACTAAAACCTACTTTATTAAACTGTAGTATTAATATCTCAATATATGTGTATAACAAGAAAAAAAATATTGATAATATTAAAGACGTGACAACATAGGCTGGATGAGGAAGGCTCGGTCGACTGTACCCAGAAGTAAACATGTGTACAAAAAAGGTTGTTTGTCCGCGTTGAGATGTAAATAGTGTAGTCTATATTTTATTTTAAGTCTATGATACTACCCCTGAAATTATTTGCACTTATTTAAGACTAACCCTGTATATTGCATTAATTTTTCTGCAACCTTAGGGTTTTTCTATTCTTACACCTAATTTATGTGATTTTCTTAGCACATATGTTTTATAAATAATATTTTCCTAATGAAAGGATATGCAAGTATTTAGATATCTTAACATTTATTATCCACACCACAAAACATAATAATATGTAGTAGGTATAAAGACATAAAAAAATTATAAGAAATATCTTAATACAAATCACAAACTAACTTAAGTCTTAACTTGGTCTGGGTATAAATCTATTAAGATCAAAAATTATCCTTCACCATATTATCAAGATTTTGGCATTACAGGAAAGAAATTACAGTAAATTAAGAAAATAATATCAAAGTACAGGATATTAGCATATATGATTTATAAACAATATTTTTCCTAATGGAAGGATTTGCAAGTATTAAGATATCTTAACATTTATTCTCCAATCTTTTTTTATCCAAGATCAAAAATGAACCTTCACCATATTATCAACAGGTCCTATTATACCATAAGGCCTATAAGGCTCGGGCCTTGGGCCCGGTGGTCTGGGGGCCCGTTAAAGGTTGTAAAATATTCATAATTTTTTGAATTTTTGAATTTTATTGGAAAAGAGGGCCCGACCAGATGAAAAATAGACCCTGATTATCAAGATTTTTGCATTACAGGAAAGAAATGACAGTAAATTAAGAAAAGAATATCAAAGTACAGGATATAAATTACTGTAATGTATTCTACGACACAAACCATATCCCTTCTAAAGAGAAAAAGATAAAGCATAAAGTTTATTTTAATCCTATCAGCATTCTTCGGTAAAATATATATGCCTACATTAGATGTAATAAATGTGTCATATTGATGATTCAAAATAATTCTAATCGGTTTAAAACCAAAAGAAAAAATCCGTAAATGATAATTTTTAATTCTAATGTAAATATATAAATAAATGTTATTATTATTACAATATTATATTACTTACAACTCCGATTACAATCATAATACCTTTAATTCACAATCTCCATTATCCTTCTTACCTAAATTTTTGATATCAAGATAAATCTGAAATTATGTAATTAATTATAGAGAATTTGTATTATTATTATTACTGATTAACACTCAAAAAACATTATTTGTTTTCAACTAAAAATAATTCGAAAATAAACAGCAACTTGGCAATATCGACGATGTGCGCTTGCGTAGTGTCGATGATCAAAGGCAGCAAATATGGGCTTCAAGGTCAGCCACCGGATCCACACCTTTACCCAAAAAAATATGCCATCTCTCATCGATAGATTCCGCACGTAAAAATAAGATTTATTTATTTATTTATTTTTCGTACGGAAGCGCTGAGGGGCCAGCTGAGTTTTTTTATATATGACTATAGTCAGATAATAACCGACTATAGTCAGATAACAACCGACTATAGTCAGAAAACAAATGACTATATAGTCAGATCATAACTGCCTATAGCCAGATAATAAATGACTATAGTCAGATAATAAAACTGACTATAGTCAGATAATATTTGTATAGTTTTAAACGCGATACAAGCCATTTTGTCAGTTTTTTACGGAAGCGCTGAGAGGCCAGCTGAGTTTCTTTTTATATATGACTATAGTCAGATAATAACCGACTGTAGTTAGATAACAACCGACTATAGTCAGATAACAAACGACTATAATCAGATCATAAATGACTATAGTCAGATAATATTTATACAGTTTTAGACGCTCCTGGATATGTTAAGCATGAGCAGTATATTTCGCAACAGGTGGTTTTCACGTGGATTTCATTAGCTGTTCAAAAAGAAGTGAATAAGCTTGTGCTGTTTAGTTTACTATTTCGGGTCTACTTTTTCGGAGGCTCTCCCGTTGATACTAGGAGGTTTTTTGACAAAAAAAAATAAAAACCGCTTTATTGTACGACCAGTTTTATGTTTGTCCCATTTAATTATCATTGACACCCTGTATCTTCAAAAATATGCATTTCTGGACACACATGTTTATATGAATTTTTTACCTTAAAATCACTCAAAGAATCGCCCTCTGAAGTTTAGCCACATACTTAATTAACACCCTGTATATTACAGTCCCGATATTTTGCTGTCTGACTGATAACTTTTTATTCTAACATAAGCCTACTGCATAGTCTTAAATGATTTTTTTTAAGTTTAGACCTCAATTTTTAACCATAAGTTTATATACAGGGTGTATATAATAGAGACCATCTAAGACTACATAATCTTTAATTGCTAAGGGTTCAACTCACCCTGACTATAGTCGGTTATTATCTGGCTATAGTCATATATAAAAAGAACTCAGCTGGCCCCTCAGCGCTTCTGTATAATATAATGTCATATACAACATACTAAATTCTAAATTTCGTTTTTTTTTATCTGAAAAAAACAAAAAAGTTATAGGGGTAAGCCACTTTTGAGACGCACCCTGTATATATGAAGGGAAAATCACTGTGGGCTAATCTGGAATCTGGCTAATCTCTAGTTTCTGATATTACAGGGGATACTCAAAAAGGAATAAAATAATAAAAATATATACTATATAAGCGTGGAAATGAGTATTTATGCTACCGAATTATTTTCTGATTTAGGATTTGGAGCTTCAATCCAAATGGCTCAATGTGAAATATTGGTAGCCCAATATTTTCGATTGAAACTACCTCTTCTGACCAACATAGCCCATGCAGTCTCGGCGATAGGCTTCATATTAGCTCCAATTATAATAGGGCATCACATTTTGACTAATTCTTTAATGCAGATTATTTTATGGTATCAAGCTATCATTCTGCAAGTAAGTTTTATTTTAATATAAATTCCAATAATGTACACTCACTCTTCAAAAAACGAACGCAGCGGAGAAATTTTTGGTCAAATTTAAAGTGATATATTTTTGTTACTTTTAGCCCTATTTTCATGATTTTTTAGCAAGCTGTACATTAATTGTATCAACTTTAATTCGTAAACTAAGTTTTTTTATAAACTTTAGTATTTGGCATATTATACAGGGTTAATCTAGAGGTTGTTTTTACCTTAACTTTAAAACTAAAATATAATTTTACATCTTTGATTTTACGGTGAGAACCATGTCGCCTGAACATTTTATTTTTTGGATCATGTCAATACATGCTTTGGTTAATTTTTAAGAGCGAAATGAGTTTGCCACCAACAATTTGCAATTTTCTCAATTATCATTTTTATTTTTAATTTATTGGCAAATGCTTGGCAGGAGGGTTAGAGGTCGTGAAGCAGTACCAGCTTCATTAAATGAACTTCGCTTGGAGCTTAAAAAAGAATCGGAAAACATAACGCAATATGATATATTATGCAGCCTCAATGACGGTATATGAACGGACATATACAGGCAATTATAGCATGGTTATAGCACCAAAAGGCGGCAATATAAAGTATTAGGGTCTTTTTTACAATTTTTTTTCTGTTTGTATACTCAAGTATTACAGATGTTTTCTTTAATACCGTTAGTTCTGTTATCGTTATTAATGTTTATTAAAACCCGGACTGTATCGTTAGTCTTTTTACGTTTTTTTTTTAAATTTAGTATAGAGTATCCAATGCAGTGACGCGGTGACTAACTCTCCTCCTAAACATCCTATGCAGTGTCCAAAACCATCTCGTCATATTAAAAAATTACATCAAAAAGTAATGATAATTAAAAAAAATTGCAAATTGATCGTTATCAGTTCATTTCGCTCCTAAAAATTAACCAGAGCATGTATTAACAATATTAACATGAATCAAGAAACAAAATGCTCAGGAGTCATGGTTCTCACCGTAAAATTATATTTTAAGAAAATTCACAGACGAAATTATTGCACAGGGTGTTTTAAAGTTAGCGTAAAAAAAACAACCCCTCGATTAACCCTATATAATATGCCAAATACCAAAGTTTATAAAAAGCTGAGTTTACGAATTAAAGTTGATATAATTACAGCTTGCTAAAAAATTCATGAAAATAGGGCTAAAAATAACAAAAATATAACAATTTAAACTTAACCAAAAATTTCTCCGTTGCGTTTTTTTTGCATCTGAGTGTATTATAAATTGTATAGGCTTGGTGGCATTCTCCGCCGGTGCTGCCACCATCGGAGAATATCGTGAACAACTGATATATACAAATATACGGATTAAAATTTTTTATATAATTATTCTAAAAGTGTTACGAAGTATAATTTGTGAAAATTCTAAAAATAAAAATAAAAAAGTAAATTTGTTGATATCTTCAGAAGGTCTAACTTGTATTATAATTTATTAATCCAGCCAAAAAAAAATTTAGATGAGTTCAGCTACGGTAGCGAGCATAGTTTTAATCACCGGTTTTGCTAGTGGGGTCATAATAACTGGAGTATTTCGGTTATAACGAAATTTTTTAAAAGATATAATTATAATTTTAGATGTTCATAAAACAGTTTAATTACTCCCAGTGTTTTTAATTGGGTTAGGACCGAAAAAAAGTCAACAGAACTTTGTTTTAAATTAGTCAAGGTTTCGCAAAATTTATTTGCATCTTCAGGACACTACAACGTTAAGAGAGAGCAAAAATACAATCAATTTTTTTTAAAAACAACTCAAAAAACACATTTCAGTGGAATTCCACACATATACAATTGGAAAAACTACCCTAATGTTAACAATTAAATAAAATATATGTATATCTTACTCACATTTAAATCTGATGGTACCATTATAAAACACATTACTTATCGACAACACTAGAAATTAGATTTTAATTACTAGTTGATTAAAAAAGTATCCATTAATATTGCAAATTATATTTTATCCTCTCATAGTATGTCTTTAATTTTTTGATTATATAACGAGCACTTTGTTTACTCACTTGTTTCGTCCAACTGCTTGAATCCATTTTTGCCTTGGATCAAATCGGTGTGAGAAACTATGAAGCAGAAGTGTCTAGCCCCAGCAGGCAACTATTAAGCTTGACCAATCAGGTTGGTTAGCGTGGTTATTTGGAGGGTGTTAATTCATTTGTGTTTGGTCAAAAACTCTAACGTGATTGTTCGGGCTTAATAGTTGCCTCATGGGGCTAGACACAAGCATATGAAGCTAGGAGCGCAACTAGACATAGACTTTTAGGAGGGCTCAAGCCTTTTGGGGGGACTTGAGGTCACTATAAGATAATATTGATTTGAGGTTAAAATCAATTTTATACAACCCGCACAAGTCATGTGTTGACTAAGCCTAGTGGCGCTTCTGTATGAAGCTATAAAATGTTGTTTCGGGAGTGTTGAATATCCGAGAAAATTGAGTTATTGAATGTTATTGCACCCCCAAATCCCTAATTACGCACTCCATTACGCGTTAATATTTTTTCGGCAATTTTATTAACATTTGAAATTGTGACAACACAACACGATGCCTAGTTCGGATTCTTTTTCACTTATTTTTTACTACCCGTAACAGCGTTACATCACACAAACCTCGTACCTGAGTGTTTTATATTTATAGTTTCAATAAATGCACTAGCAAACAACTAAAATGCTTAAATATTGTGACAAAGCCACGATTTCAATATTATTTTAATGCGATCAACATGAACTGTAACCGGGACGGCGTGAAATATATAGCGAAAATTTCTGATTTCTGCCGTATACAGCGCTGCGGTCGGAATTTTTTGAAACCAACTGAAATGCACCAAGCCTATATTAAATTATTAAAGATGTAATAAAATTTAAAAAACTCTTTTTAAGGGTTTGGTTGTTAATTTATTGTTTAAGAAGCCCATTTATCTAAAGTCCGGCAATACGAAAAGATATAATTATGTTACTGTAAGTATTATTTTTATTTTTTCGACATTTAAATTTAGTAACCGCGGCTAACATATCGTGTAGATATTGGCTAACATCGGCTATACAGGGTGTCCCAGAAATAAGTGCATAAGTGCAAGTATTTTAAGGGGTGGTAGATCTCGATAAAAGAAACATATTTTCTCTTTACCGTTTTTCAAATAAGTCCAAAATAACAGAGTTATGTTACTTTGAAAATTTCCCAAAAAAATGATTTTTTGCTGAAATTTTGAGAACCACTGGATCTTTTCTGGATTTTCTTTCTTGTAAATTTAATCTAATACCTATGTTGCCATATTATCAAGAAATTATGTTTTTAACTAAAAACTAAAAAAATTCCCAAAAAATTTCGAATTTAAAAAAAAAAGTTCGCAAGAAAAGCCTTATAGGCGTGTTTCTGGGGTTGAACTATACTACCAGTTAAAATACTTGCACACTTATTTCTGGGACACCTTGTATATATCGTGTACTTGTGAAACACTGATGACACACATCACAAATACATGCGAGAGGTAGCCGACGCTCTGTATAGTTAGTATGGGTGGGTATAGCAGTTAAAATTTTCTGGATCTTTTCTGGATTTTCTTTCTTGTAAATTTAATCTAATACCTATGTTGCCATATTATCAAGAAATTATGTTTTTAACTAAAAACTAAAAAAATTCCCAAAAAATTTCGAATTTAAAAAAAAAAGTTCGCAAGAAAAGCCTTATAGGCGTGTTTCTGGGGTTGAACTATACTACCAGTTAAAATACTTGCACACTTATTTCTGGGACACCTTGTATATATCGTGTACTTGTGAAACACTGATGACACACATCACAAATACATGCGAGAGGTAGCCGACGCTCTGTATAGTTAGTATGGGTGGGTATAGCAGTTAAAATTTTCTGGATCTTTTCTGGATTTTCTTTCTTGTAAAGTTAATCTAATGCCTATGTTGCCATATTATCACGAAATTATGTTTTTTAACTAAAAACTAAAAAAAATTCCAAAAAATTTCGAATTTTCAATTTTTTTTTCTCGAAAAAAAACTCATAGGCGGGTTTCTGGGGTTGAACTATACTACCAGTTAAAATACTTGGACTTATTTCTGGGACACCTTGTATATATCCATAGAGAAAGCATAATAATTAGCTTATACACAACAAACTTTTTTCAAATGTCACAAAAGTATTAAATTTTGCGACATGATTGACAATATAAAAAATCATTTTAACGCCTAGGCATATTGTAAAAAAATACTTTTACGCCTTCTTTTAATGTCTTTATAACCAAAGATAATGAAATAGTATATTGTTTTATTAGGAGTAAAAATGATATCTACTTTTTGTGGAGAGGCTGAACATTCTATTTTTTTTTCAAACGTTACTAATAATTTGTTAAACAATTTTAAACGTTCCAAATAATATAAAAGTATTTAAAAGTAATAAATAAAGCTTCATTCAGAACCTCGAAATCAGTGAAATAAATTAGTTGTTTCAATTAGCCGTAGAAGTTTGTTCACTTAATTTTAATGTAAGCATTCAGAACGTCATAATTAGTGGTAGTCACAGTGGTAGTAATTTTCAATTAGTGGAAAAAGCAGGCGCGTGTGGTTCATGGAAGCGGGGGAAGCGGCGCCGGCGCGGCGCTTCCCTATACGTTGAGACCAAGCTTTTTAATATTTTTAATTAATAATTCATAGCAAGTAATATGAATCTAGGTAGTGGTTTATATGTGATCTGTTAAACATATTTTTCGACTTTTTTTATTAACTTTATCGAATCGCTTCCCCTTGTATAAATTTCTCCGTAGACCACTGGGAAAAAGTTCACAAACTTTTAACTTTTCCACTAATTATACTTCAAAATTTGCGAGGAATGTCATTTTGGCCTTTGATTATCACCCGTCAAGAAAAAATTTAGTTAGAAATCAAAAGTTTATTGTTATATAAGCTAAATATTATGCTTTCTCTATGGATACAACAGACTACCGCAAGCTGTTGCTAGGATATTTTATTAATTTTAATTGTGTTTTTTAAACATTGTGAATGATCGTAAACTAAAAAGTATAAAGTGTAATTGAAACCGCTAATTTATTCCACTAATTGGGAGGTTCTGAATGAAGCTTAAAACTAAGTAATTATATATCGTGAAACTATGGTTACGCTCGTTTAATTTGACACTTTGTGTCAGTTTAATAAATATTTTCCTACTTTTGTACTTAGGCGTAAAAGTGCTTTACTTTTATGCCTAGGCGTTAAAATTACTTTTTTATGTTGTCAATCACGTCACAAAAATATACTTTTGTGACGTTTGAAAAAAATACATTTATAACTTTCAAAACTTAAAATTTACGAAGTAAAACAATAAATTTACACTGCTGAATTTATCGAAGATTTTTTAAATAACTAAATTTATTAAAACTAATATATTATTTTGCATTATTGCGACATTTCTAAAAAGGGAACATTAAAATCCGGAGGCTTATGAAAAATCCGAGAGTAGTGAAAATACGGCTATATCCGGTAATCCGGACGTCTGGTAACCCTACTCTTGACGGATAATAGTCAAAGACCAAAATGACATTTCTTGCAACCTTTGCAGTATAATTAGTGGCAAAAGTTAAATTACTACAGCTTCATTCAGAACCTCGCAATTAATGGAATAAATTAGTGGCTTCAATTACACTTTATACTTTTTAGTTTACGATCATTCACAATATCTAAAAAACATAATTAAAATTAATAGAATATTCTAGGAACAGCTTGCGGTAGTCAGTTGTATCCATAGAGAAAGCCAAATATTTAGCTTATAAAAAAAACAATGAATTTTTGATTTCTAACCACAATTTCTGTTGACGGAAAATAATCAAAGGTCAAAATGACATTTCTCGCAAATTTTGAAGTATAATTAGTGGAAAAGTTAAAAGTTTGATAACTTTTTCTACTAATTGAAAATGTCAACCACTAATTTCGAGGTTCTGAATGCTTACATTGAAATTAAAGGAACAAACCTCTACGCTAATTGAAACCACTAATTTATTCCATTGATTTCGAGGTTCTGAATTACCTCGAAATCAGTGGAATAAATTAGTAGTTTCAATTAGCCGTAGAAGTTTGTTCACCTAATTTTAATGTAAGCGTTCAGAACGTTATAATTAGTGGTAGTAATTTTCAATTAGTGGAAAAAGTTTACAAACTTTTGGCTTTTCCACTAATTACACTTCAAAATTTGCGAGGAATGTCATTATGGCCTTTGATTATCACCCGTCAAGAAAAATTTTGGTTAGAAATCAATGGTTTATTGTTTTATAAGATAAATATTATGCTTTCTTTATGGATACAGCAAGAGGGTTGCTAGGATATTCTGTTAATTTTAATTGTGTTTTTTTAAACGTTGTGAATGATCGTAAACTAAAATGTATAAAGTGTCATATTGAAACCACTAATTTATTCCACTAATTGGGAGGTTCTGAATCTTTGTTCTGAATGAAGCTTAACACCAACTACCACTAATTTTGACGTTCTGAATGCTTACGTTGAAATTACAAGAACAATCTTCTACGCTAATTGAAATCACTAATTTTTGAATGAAGCTTAAGACTATTTTGTAGACTAACCCAGACGATGAAGAGGATATTTTTTCGAAAAATACCCGAGAGTTGCAAATCAAAGTACAAAATCATCATGGCGTTCAAGTACAGAATCACGAGATTCCACCTGCAACGAATTTAGAGAGGTTGGTACCATTCTTCCATATATTCTTATGTTTGAACTTTGTACAAAAGCAGAGATATGGAAGTAGGAAGAATGCGGATCAGCTTGCAGCGAACTGGCAATCTATATGGGTGCCATGCATCGGATCCCACAAAAAAATTTATGGAACAAAAAATGAAGAGGATTCAATTCTCTACATTTTCATTTCTAAGTAACAAACCTTTAAAACCAACGGGGACAAGATTCTCGAGAGAGGGCGCCAAAGTCACTCAAACGCAGTTTTTGCATTTTTTCAGATGAAACCATTTTTTTACTGTCGTAAAGTTTTTAAAATTAAAGAGCATAAAAAACCTACCAAACTGATATGTAACTTTTTTACGTTTCACCAAACCAAATCAAAATTTCATTGTTATCGCCATCGATATGCTCAGAGGCGAGCAAAAGACAAATAAACGGGAATCTGTTTTTGTCACTCTTATTAAATTTAGAACAAAAAACCTCTTTTCTTAAAACGCTACCTTCAGCGCACGATCCTCAGTTCGAGTGAACACCGTAATCCGCGAGAATCAGGTGGGAATGAATGCAATATTATCTCTTAAACAGTAAAACGTAAAAAAAAGTTACACATCAGTTTGATAGGTTTTTTTATGCTCTTTACTTTTAAAAACTTTGCGGCAGTAAAAATATGGTTTCACCCGGAAAATGCAAAAAACTGCGTTTGAGTGACTTTGGCGACCTCTAACTTTGCCCTCGTAGATTTTAGAGGTTTGTTACTTAGAGATCACAAAGCAGAGTACCTATTTAATTATCTTCATATTGTTACGTTTTTCGTCGGTTCCGTGTGGATAGAAAGTCACAATTTATTTAAACACTATTTATTTAACACTAATTAACAAAAACAATAACGATAAAAGACTTATAGAACTATTTACAAACGATTTATAACTAAGAATTTATTTTGAATTTTAGCGCGTCAACTGTACTTGTCTATTTATAACTGCCCTCTTTAAGCCACAGCCGCCGGCTTTTATACCTACAGCTAAAGGTCTCTAGAATAGTCCATAGATCGTTAGGTGCATAGAGAAGGTTTCGATTGTTCTCGTATGTACTACTCCATTCCAGTAGAACTCGATACTTCTCGAATCTTCGAATGAATCATTACGGTGTCTATTCTTTAATGCGATGTTAAGGTCATCCGAGGGCGGGCCATATTGTTAGGTTAGGTCGAGTCCACACCGGTCCGCAACACTGCCCCCTTCTTAGGTACATGCTCGTCCCGAGATGTACACGGTGAATGAAGGTATTTGCAAAGCTGGCCCCTGGTACATTGCGAAGTCTTGTAGAAATAGCAGTCTACAGTTTTCTCTCCCGATCTCAGCTTTGGGTTGTAGCAGCAAACAAGGATCTCGATTCCCGTAAATCTGAACAAGACTTCAATCATGTTCCGGATTGTACGCCAACTCAAATCATCGAGTCCACACGCCAGCTTCGGAATGGCTAATCGTGTAATGTTGTTGTTTAGCAAGGCTTCTCTGAGTTCAATCAGGGCCTTCCATAGATTGAGATAAGTCGGCTTACTCGGCGACCATTCCTTAGTGACCAGGTAGAAGATGTGTCTTGCTTGACCATGCGCATTGTCGATTAGCCTCAAGACGCTTCCAATCTCTGGATCCTGTCGGCGTAGTTCTCCGAGTCGCCCAAACTTCTCATTGAACGTCACAGCGATTCCTCTGGACATCCGCAAATCTCGAGCCACACAATGAGCGAGCGAATAATCAGGAGGCACGGAAAAGAGGTCTCGTTGATCTTCTTTGGTTACTCCATAGCGAGCCTTCTCACTGCTGTTGTATCGGGCCATGAAATCGTCAAAGGACATCTCCGAATCAGGGGGATCAAAGCTGCAGGTTCTCACGGTCCCAGCACCATCTTCTATTTCGCCTTGGTAGGGGCTCAAACGGTTGAAATGGACTACCCTCGGTTTTCCTTTTGGCATTTTCATGGCCCGATACAACAGCAGTGAGAAGGCTCGCTATGGTGTAACCAAAGAAGATCAACGAGACCTCTTTTTCATGCCTCCTGATTATTCGCTCGCTCATTGTGTGGCTCGAGATTTGCGGATGTCCAGAGGAATCGCGGTGACGTTCAATGAGAAGTTTGGGCGTCTCGGAGAACTACGCCGACAGGATCCAGAGATTGGAAGCGTCTTGAGGCTAATCGACAATGCGCATGGTCAAGCAAGACACATCTTCTACCTGGTCACTAAGGAATGGTCGCCGAGTAAGCCGACTTATCTCAATCTATGGAAGACCCTGATTGAACGCAGAGACTAAGAGTGAACCAAAACGGGCAGACCGGGCTCGTAGCCGTAGTGAAGGCAACCGGTCTAAGGTGGAGCACCGGACTAAAACTTAACAAAAGTTGCATGATGGAAAATAGGGAAAATGCTGGTCTCCGGGTGGGTCCGCAATTGCGGGAATCCCACCCCGCCGATGGATCTAATCCGTTGGCGGGCTGCCCCGTTGGATACGGAGGGGGCAATCCTGCGACTTCACAAACCAACGTTCTTAATTCGGTCCAAATCCAGACCGAAGGAAGATCTCCAATTACTAGATTTACACAATCAATTATACAGATTTCAAGACTGCAGACCCCTGCTGGTAATATAAGAAGATCAAACTCCATTGGGGCTTGTGATTTTGTTAAAAAACGGAAGGTAGTTGACACATCCTTTAATTCGTCACAGATCGAGACCGTCAATAAAGTGGAATGCATGACGGCAGTTAGTATATGCGAGACTATTAAAAGCCTCATTAATAACAGCAAAGACATGGAGAAATATATAACTGAGAATTCCAATACTAAAAGGGAAATCAAAGAAACTTCGGCGAATATAAGGAGAAATATAGAGGTCCTTAAAAGCTCAGTGATAAAAAACTGGCTAGAAGAACATAGATGGGTCTCACCTAAAATCCCCACATATGATGTAGATGTCCAAACTGATCCCAAGTTCGGAAAGGAGGATGTAGCCTGCCAGACAGATCTCACAGACCTAAGTCAGGCCAAAAAATACATCGACATCCAATATTATGACACATTTGAGAAGTTTAATGATACCATAGACCAGGATTGGGATGAAGAAACTTTCACAAGAACTGAAATTATCACCGGTAATCCGGTGCATGATAAGGAAGCGGCCGTCAAGACTGTACTGGTAGAAGAGAATGATACGGGGATGGAAAATAGCATCCAGAGACAATTCAGGGACCGTTACCCTGATCTCCGGGACATTGAGGGTGACATGGGAGTGTTAGAGCAAGTTTTGAGGCGAACACAGGCAGAAACCCCGAGAAGACTAAAGATCATCAAGTTAAAGATGGGCAAGGACCTTGGTGAATTTTGGTCAAAACTTCAGCTGCTAAAAAATGAGACAATGGGAGAGGAACATATATCCATACATCAAACCAGGAGCATACCCTTGAATACACTTCGGAAAATGACGGAATGTGTTTTCAGTTAGGTGAACACCAAAGTACGGATATTCCCACCGGAAAACCAAAAAAAATCCCCTGCAAAAAAGCCCGGTAAACAGTATAATTCATACGCACTTATCGTTGAATCTAAAGGAAAAGATTATAAGGAAACCCTAAAAAACGTGAAAGAAATACTAAAGACCAGTGAAGACAGAGGCATTGTTAGAAATTTTAGGAGTACCAAAGAGGGTGATCTCCTCATATCAACAGATAAAGATAGAGAGGCCTTGGAGCAATTAAAAAGCACATTCGATGCGGCAAACACAGGACGCAATATTCGAATTGCAGGAGAAAAGAAAGACAGGAAATGTACCCTTCATATAAGGGGCATCGACGCTACAACTACGGGTATCGAGCTCAAAGATTCACTAATGGATCACCTAGGGGATATTGGCGATAGAGATATTAAGATTGGGGAATTAAGACCCAATATGGCTAATACGCAGGCGGTCACAATCACACTTAGTGAAAGCGTCTCCAAGGAAACAAAAGGCAGCATTCCCATTGGAATGGTCCGATGCAATATCGAGAGAAGGATTGAGTTGCAAAGATGCGGGAAATGCTGGGAGTACGGGCACGATACCTCAAAATGTCAAGGCCCAGATAGGAAAAAATTATGCCTGAACTGCGGCAAGGAGGGGCACGCCGCAAAGGATTGTCCCGGTGAAGCATATTGCCTCCTATGCGAGATTAATGACCATGCGGCGAAGAGTGGGCGATGCCCGAAGTTTAAAGTAGCCTTAAAACAGGCTCGAAAGAAACAAGACTCAATACCGGCGCAAGATCATGAACCAGAGCAGTAAAGGGTAGAAACACACCATCCAAATTGTGCAGGTACACATGGATTGTAAGATAAAGAAGCGATATGCGACCTCTCCAATCAGATCGCTAAAAGCCACAACAGCGGTGTCAAATTGGGTAAAATTCCTAAAAAAAGAGTTGTGATAAATAAGCATTGTGATAAAGGCTGTGATATTTTCGTACATACCAATAATCTAACTGTTATATATTTTATACCTTGTGAGTGTCCTGTCTGTCCGATTTATATGAGTGTCAAAATATATGTATGTTGGTGTTTGTCAGAAATTAGCATATATGACGATAAGATTTTTACAGGTAAACACAGATAGGAGATCGGCGACTTATGATAGGCCTTATGATATGCTACATCAGCATATGCGCGAAGAAGGTGTTAATATAGTAATGGGGCAGGAACCTAATAGTTTCGCATCACGAACCGAACTATGTGATAAAAACAAAGATGCCTTCATCAAACTTAGCCTGGAAAATTCGGAGCTGATGGCGAAGAATCACATAGTAGGCGAGGGCTACGTATGTGTTGAGTTTGATAACTTCATGGTAATATCGGCATATTTTTCACCTAATAAGCCTAGTGAGTTACTGGAGAATCTGCTTGTGGACATTGAAAATCTTATTAAATGCAAGAGGAAGGAAACTATTATTGGGGGTGACATGAATGCTAAATCTAGTA